ACGAGATTTGATCGCGTGCGAAGAAGTTACCGTAGTCGTTCTCGTTTCCATTCAAATGTTGCTTTTATAACAGTAAATCAACAACGAGAGAAAAAGTTTCATAAACTAAATCTCCTGCTGACTAAAATCCCCTACAAAACGTGTAAATAAGTCATAACATTAAAAACAGGCCAGATATTTAGTACTAATATATTATTTGCGCCGGATAAACGCTATATAAATGCTACAAATTATTTTTGGAAAACAAAAAAAAGCCAACTTTCTTTGTTTTTTTTTTTGAAAAGTCGTCGTGAGGACTACGAGGTTTCTCCACAATTTCGTACTCAGATGGGCGACGGCTACGACTTTTTCGCGTCAGTACGGGATGGCGTAAGCATACAGCATGCGTTTAGCTTGACGAATCTCGTACTCGTAGTCGTACTCGTAGTCAAATCTAAAGCTCCCTATTAGACGCTTTTAGATAACAAGACGCGGACGTCAAGACACAGAGTAGAGACATACAGAGACGTAACTAGTGTACCCACTTTTTGTGTGCGCATGCTCGGCAAGTTACTAGATGCATGCATCTGATTGGACGACGACCTGATGACGACTCACTTTAAACTTGCTGAGCACGCGCAGTTGATCATTTTTCGCCCGGTCGCCTGAAAAAAAGTGGGTACATGATAACGTAATCTTCCGCAGTGTTTACAACGGTCAGTTACGTCACAGAGTAGATAAGACATACAGAGACGTAACTGACCGTTGTAAACACTGCAGAAGGTTACGTTATCATGTACCCACTTTTTTTTCAGGCGACTGGGCGAAAAATGATCAACTGCGCGTGCTCAGCAAGTTTAAAGTGAGTCGTCATCAGGTCGTCATCCAATCAGATGCATGCATCTAGTAACTTGCCGAGCATGCGCACAAAAAAAGTGGGTACACTAGTTACGTCTCTGTATGTCTCTACTCTGTGGTTACGTCTCTGTATGTCTTATCTACTCTGTGGTCAAGAGGACGTGAAAATGACGTATGCACCTCGCGTTCACTTCCGGGTTTTAATCTGCGACGGCTTGTTTGTCTTTTTCGAAGCAAATTTTTGTTTTCTTGTTACCTGTTCATTCCTGTATTGTTTTCAATCAGTTGTCAAGATATGTGCAAGAAAAGGCTATATAATACTGGGAAAGTGCAAGATATGTGCAAGAAAAGGCTATATAAAGGTTATTTTTTGGTATTTTGAAAAGTGAACTTTGTTGCATCATTTGGAATAAATACAACAGCTGCAGGTATTGTTTACGAGCTAATTGTAGCCTATTCAATCAAGTTTGTCAACTGTTCAGTATAAATATAGCATTAGTGTTTATATTGGTAAAATTTAATACTGTTTACGATAGTTTTTCACGCTGGAAAGCGTTTTTTTGCTTGTCCTACTTTTTGCACTGTTGTGACAGAGCAACTAAAATTGATTGAGTTTTTACTGCTTTTAAGTGCTTTTATTTTTTATTTTCCCACGTTTTCCTGATTTTAAACAGTTGTTAATATAACTTCAGTTTAGTTTGTTCTAAAATATTTGTTTTGGTGAAGATTACTAGCGGTATTGAAGTGGTTATTAATAATGCTTGCAATTTTGTTGATTTGTTTATGGCGACCGAAAGTATTTGTCGAAAATCAACTCGTCTAAAATTTAGCGAAATACAAGAAAAACAACCTTGTAAATGGAAAAACTTTAGCTAGTATCATTAAACAATACATGGGGAACAAAATAGGATGATTTTTCAAAAGAAGCAAAAATCTGTGACGTTCTAGAGAGGACGTGAAAATTGTATTTTCGCGTCGTGAAATCGTCCAAGACGACGTCGCAAACTAGAAGCTGACGATAGTTGGCGCCAAATGACGACATCCACGTCCTCTTGACGTCCGCGTCTTGTTATCTAAAACCGTCTATTGCGCCACCGAAGCCCCGTTAAAATATTTAACAATTATACCATGAGCTCGAGTCGTATACGAGCTGATAGCCAACGAGGTGCGTAGCACCGAGTCGGCTATCAGCCATATACGCAGGCCTTAAAATATCGGTCGGTCACGGACATTGTCCGACCCGTTCGTGAAATTGTCCGATGTAGAGAGGAAAACACCGGACATTCTGTCCGACCAAAGTGAAACTGAGGTTTATTGTTTGTCCGACCCAAGTGTATTGGTGTCCGACCGAACTGTAGCTTTGTCCGACGTAAATCAAAATGTACCCTAGCCCAGGACTAGAGACTTGTATGTTAAATGGAAAATCAGAGTACTATTCATATATGAAAGGTGAACTGGAAATGTTGTTTTAACGTAGTCGAGCGCGGGGCGGCGAGCGAGATGGTGAAGAGGAAAACGGGCTTAAGTTGTCGAAGTCTTTTTTAATACTGCTGTTCTGGAAAGCAAGTTAATTTTGGCTTGGAAATAAGTATGAAAGAAACAAAGTATTTAATATCTTTACAATATTTACCGTTTATTCATTTGTGTCATTCAGACTTATTTCCGAGTCAAAACTGAACTGAAGGTCATCGGACATATGTCCGAGCCAAACTCAACGTCATCGGACATTTTGTCAGACGGCCCTGTAAAAGATATTTTAAGGCCTGCATATACGACGAGAGCGAATGGTATAATTGTTTTGTAATATAGTCTAAGAGCCATTAACTGAAGTAATAATTAATTATCCTCTGTTACAATGTCTTGACAATTTGTTGGGCCAAAAACCGCTTGGCCTTGAAAATTTGAAATACTTTCAGCTTTTGAGTTTTGTTTTACAACTCGAAGACCAAGTGAAAGAAATGGTTTTAGAACCGGTATATCTCACAGAAAAGCTCAGATATATTATACAGATGTTTGGTAGTATAGTTAGTGCTTGTTGACTGCAAATTCATTTGTCTTTCGTTGCAAACTTTTCTGAACAATTTATATTCTCAATGAACATGTTTTTTCGCTGTTGTTTCGGTATTAATTCTTTAAAAAACTTGTATTTAAACTAATTTCTATGTAATAAATGTATTTTGCTAACCTGTCAAATTTTTTTGAGAGTTTTTCCTTGTACTATTATGTTTCTCAAAGCGAATATTTTCCTTTTTTCTGCTTCGCAAAACTCATGTAGTTTTTGGACCGCCATCTTGTTTTTCGCTACTCGCCGTATATGAGCTGTTATTATACACTCACGCGCACTTAACCAATCACGAGTGCTTATTAGGGTCACGTGCCGATCCAATATTTTACGATATTGGACAGGAACCTATTGGACAGGAACCTATTGGACAGTGTTTGCCGCCATTACTCATTAGCCGCCAGGGTCCAGAGCATTTGCTTATGGAACCAGACCAAAAGAAGCCACGTTTACTCCTAAAGAAAACGGAAAATGAACTCAATGAACTTCTCGAGAACAAAGAATCTTCGAACACAAAGAAAGCAACAAAACCGCAGCAAACGTTTTCAGAAACTACTGCACTGAACGTGGAAAAGAGTCAAATTTCGAGAGCTTTTCAACCGAAGAACTCGCCAATACTTTAAAATATTTTTACGCCGAAGCTACGAAAAAAGATGGCGAGTTCTACAAAAAGTCTTCTTTGAACTGTATTCGTGAGGGTCTTGCCAGATATCTTAAAAAAGAACGAAAGATTAACATCATTGAAGAGCCGGAATTTGATTCTGCGAACGAAGTTTTTCGTGCTCAGCTGGTTGAGTTAAAAAGGCAGGGGAAAGGAGGGACTGAACATAAAGAGCCAGTTGAAGAAAAGGATCTAAAAAAACTTTACAGTAATTGTGATGTATCAACACCGAAAGGACTTCAACAAAAAGTCTGGTTAGATATCATGATTTACCTTATTCGTCGTGGGAGAGAAAATCTACGCCAAATGACAAAAACAACTTTCGCTGTTAAAGTTGATGCAGCCGGCAATCGTTATGTTACACAAACTGTGGACGAAATGGACAAAAATCATCGTGAAAATTGTGATAGAAATGCTACAATTGGCGAAGGAAGGATGTATGAAAACCCTCAATCTATTCACTGTCCTGTTAAAACTTTTGAAATGTACACTTCGAAACTTCATCCTGACCTTGACGCCCTTTGGCAAAGACCGCGCGAAGGTCACTTGACCGAGAACGACACAATATGGTATTGCAACAGTCCTGTCGGCGAAAAAAAGCTTGGAAACATGATGAAGGATATGTCAGCTGAGTACAAGCTAAGTAAACTCTATACTAATCATTGTATCAGGTCTACTGCCATTCAAATTTTAAACTTGGCCGGCTATAATGACCGAGAAATAATGAAAATAAGCGGCCACAAAAGTGTAACAAGTTTACAAAGTTATCATGATCGGATTACTGAGAAATGTCAACAAAGTATCTCTCAAACCATTGGCAATGCCGTAACTAAAGTCGGAGCACAAGAAGCTACAACACCTATAGATAAGAGCATGGAACACGTCAATAAATCGCCAATTTCTCCAGTCTCGTCGGTTTTCCTGAGGTCTCCGCCAGGAAGCCCGTTAACATTGAACATTCAACAATCTACAACAACGTCAACAAATCAATCAAATTCGTTTCCATTTAGCTTTAAGCCTGGACAAATGACATTTCAGAACAGTAATGTTACTTTTAATTTTCAGCATCGTTAGCCTTGTAATAAGTTTCAAAGTTTTAATCTGTTTGTTGTGATATTTTGAAATTTGTGTACACATTGAGAGTTGAATGTTTTTATATATTAATTAGTAAAAACCAGGACGAATTCGTTTTTAGTTTCTTGTTTGTTCGATATAATAAAACTCCTATTGGATTCATCTTCGCCCAATATGGCAAAATATTAAGTCTCGACTTCAATATTAGGCTCGACCTTCGGTCTCGCCCAATATTGAAGTCTCGACTTAATATTTTGCCATATTGGGTTCAGAAGAATCCAATAAGATATAATATACGGCGAGTAATTCAACCAATCAGATTGCAGAACAGCTCATATACGGTGATTGACTATATTATATATATATTTAGGTAGGTTTCACTGTGTAGCAAATGGCGGTCAACCAGAGAAACCAAAGTGAAACAATCTTGTGTAATACCAAGTAGGGGTGGATCTACCGGAGGAATGCAGGGGGGCACAGCACCCCCGTAAAGAAAACTCTAGTACTCCATATTTCAGTTGTGAACTTACTACTTCAAATATTATATTGAAACGATTGATTTTCGAATACACGAGATTTTCGAATACACAAGATCTAGCTTCGTCTGCAAGGAGGAATGCAGGTTTTCCATGGGGTGGTGCATGAGGGGAGGCTTACTACCCTCCTCTGCAGTTTGCAACGCTACCATCCCAACATTACAATTATTTGAGATTGCTGAATCTGCATGTTCGCCGTTCTGTTACGTTTTACATTATCTTTTGTTTATAAAGTTTATATTATAGCGGCTTTTTATCACGTATGCGTGACTGGACAGTTGTTGTAGCACAGTACAGTAAATTTGCTTGTTAAAATACAGCTAGTATGTTTGAAAATTAATAATGGCTGTTTAACTGTATAACAACCTCGACATGTTTACAATACCATGATATTTAAAGCATTAGATGTACCGCTAATTGACCATTTGCGTAATAGACTAAATTTTGATCTAAACAAGTCTAGACAAAAATTTCACCACAGCTTGAAAGAGCATCACAAAATTAGTAATATTCCAAAGTTTTGTTGCGAAATGTTGTAAAATGCGGATAATATAGCCTTGCGAAGTTTGTAATCTAAAATGACTGGTCAATGGTCAATTGTTAATCGAAAAGCAGAAAATGTATGGTCAAGCAGATTTTTTTAGGGTGGTTTTGGATTCTTTAAGGGGGTGCTAGACAACACTAGATGGGGTGCGCACCCCCACAGTAGATCCACCCCTGGTATTTAGTGTCAACATTTCTGACGTGGAACATATTCTATGGCATACCTGATCATCTTTGACATTGGCTCCAGTTTTACTCTTTTCGAGAATTTTTGTCATTTCCTTGACGTTTCCTTCCTTACACCAGTCAAACGCTGTTTTATCCTCATCTTTTATTTTGCAATCTGCCTCGTAGTCTGCATTATACAGTGTGCTAACTGTCACTCCCATTCCACCTTCCATACCAGTTGATTTTTTCTCCTAGAAAATAAAAATGATACCTCACCACATTGGAAATAAAGCAGGGATGTTCCCTTTGTCGCTCAACTCATCTTCAATGTCCCCTTGGCTTATACAAATATACTTATTTTGTTTGTATTTATCCAGGGTGTCCACCCTTTGGTGAAGGTGAAATTCAAGGACTTTTCCAGGACTTTCAAGGCCCTCTTTCAGTAAATTCAAGGATCTAGAACTGAAAAATCTCGAAAATGGCACGGATTTGCCCCTCTTTGATTCACTTTATTCAGTAATTTTAATTCAAATCACTAATGTTGGCACAGCTGGAGGTTAAGGAAATCAATTCCAGGCAGGCCTTAAAATATCTTTTCCAGGGCCGTCTGACAAAATGTCCGTTGACGTTGAGTTTCGGTCGGACATATGTCCGATGGCCTTCAGTTCAGTTTTGGCTCGGAAATAAGTCTGAATGCCGACACAAATGAATAAACGGTAAATGTTGTAAAGATGTTAAATATTTTGTTTCTTTCATACTTATTTCCAAGCCAAAATTAACTTGCTTGCCAGAACAGCAGTATTAAAAAAGACTTCGACAACTTAAGCCCGTTTTCCACTTCACCATTTCGATCGCCGCCCCGGCTCGACTATGTTAAAACAACATTTCCAATTCACCTTTTATACAATAGTACCGTACTCTGATTTTTCATTTAACATACAAGCCTCTATCTGGGCTAGGGTACATTTTGATTTATGTTGGACAAAGCTGCAGTTCGGTCGGACACCAATACACTCAGGTCGGACAAACAACAAACCTCAGTTTCACTTTGGTCAGACAGAATGTCCGGTGGTTTCCTCTCTACGTCGGACAATTTCATGAATGGGTCAGACATTGTCCGTGACCAACCGATATTTTAAGGCCTGATTCCAGGACTTTCAAGGACTTCTATTGATTTTCAAGGACTTTTCAGTCATGAAATAATTTTTTTTCCAATTAAGGACTTTCTAGGATTATCAAGGCCTGTGGACACCCTGTTTATCATTTATGGAACAATTTATCTCTGAATATCAGAGAACCTAGTTCTTTATATATTTTTCATAAGAATTTACTGTCTTCCTATTATAATAAATTTAATGTCAGCTATTCATTGTAATGTATTTATAATTATTAGGTTTATATAATTGCATGCTGTATTGTATATAATTGCATCTTGGGTGACCTATAGTAGGGAATCTTGAATTCTGTTTTAGGTTTGCCTCTAATACATTAGATTATTTTACTAACAATGTATTGAAATTGATTAAAGTTAAAGACCATGCAAGCAGGGGCTAGGGAGCAGGGTCTTAGCTAGAGGGCCGTGTTGGCTGTGTTATCGCGGCCAAAAATAGAAAAACACGGCTAGATAAAATTAACGCGGCTTCATTAATTAAATAAGGCTGTGTAGGTTCATAAAATAAGGTGTTACTGCTTACAACAGACAGCATTTCTTCCCATTTTCGTTGTAAGAAAGTTTCTAATAAAAATCTACTGGAATTGATGAAATTGGAAGAAGTGATCTGTGATGTTTTAATGGATAATGGGAACCATATGGTATTATATAAAATAGTTTTAAATACCCCCAAGAGTTGCTGAAAAAACTTAATATTTTATTGTCAGTACGCAATGTGAGCGTAGCCTTGTATTTGCATGGTTGCAAAGCCTACAACAACCACAGGCATTGTCTGTTGTTGGTGAGCATAACTAGAAATACGCACACCCAGGTCATTTAGAAACACGCCCAAGATCTAAAATCCTAGCTAAGACCCTGCTAGGGAGTAATTCAGCCCACCAATAATTTTCATGATACTGAACACATATTTATCACGCTCAAGATTTTGTGCTTGGTTTTGGAAAACTGGTACACTAATATTGGTTTGACCAAAATTACTGTATTTATTTAGCTTTGAAGTGTGAAACTATTAGTTCTGACAATGGTTTTGGCTTCTAGATGGTATATGTTTTGAGTGATTTTTCTGAAATGATGTAAGCTATTAATATTCACCTCATCTATATGCTGTGTAATTCTTATACATTGTTCCCAGTTGCCATTTATTCTGGTCAATTCATTTATATAATTCTTCATTGCATCCTCTGTGGACATCTGACCCAAACCTTTCCAGGCTTCCCTAAAAAATATCAAGATTTGCTGTGCTCTTCAAAAATCATGTATATGTACAGTAGGGGGTGAAATGCCAAAGCCCAGGAAATGTTAAGATTTTTGGTCTTATTTAGTCCTACTTAGTTTAAAATCCTTCTTTCAATTACAGTACTGTCACTTAATCCAACGGGGATTTAAATTTCTGGGGTACAAATTTCTCTAGGTGCCAGGATGCAAAATATTTTTTGGGTGCACACCCCCTTGTGTGAATAGGGGTATACAAATCCGCCGAAATTTGAAGCAAAATCCGCCGATCCAACAATGGTCTTGTCTAAATTTGGATCCACTAAAAGCTCTACTAAATGAAGTCACAATCCAGGATCCCAACTAAATTGCAAGCAAAATCCGCAATCTGGTCAAAATATTAGATAAATCTGCAATCTGCTGTATTAATAAGATCTGAAAATCTGTGTAAAAGATCCGAAAACCTATTCACTCACCCTCCCCCCCCCATAGGTCCGAGATCAAATCGTAGGTCTGAGATCAAATCATCCGATCATCTAGGTTTGAGATCAAATCATAGCTGATATTTCCTGATAGCTTGTCCAAATCTGTGTATGACATGTCTAGCATGAAAAAGGTAATCTCTAACCATTTAGCACAGCCTTTCATGTCCCAAATTGGTGGTTTTCGTTTTGTACATGGGCCTTCTGTGGCCTATCAATAGAAAAAATAAAAAAATATTTAACTATTTAATATTTATCTAATAATTTTAATACCAAATTAAAAAAAACCCTTCACTTTGATATTTATCTAAATGTCCTACACATCAGTGTGAAATAAAATGCAAAAATCTATTTATTGAACACGCCAGATTTTATATAAAATTCGCAAGCAATTTAATTTCAAACGGTTTCGCTTGCATTATCGTAAATTCAAATTTCGTAGTTATATCTTTAAATATAGTACAAATTGAAAAACCTCTTTAGTTAATTTATGTTTATTTATTGAATAAATATGAAAGCAAATTATCTATAATCTTTTCAAATAAATGTAAATATTAAAATACATTTGATACTTTCATACATTTCAAAATTTGTACACTTCGAAATACTAACCTGCTTAAAAAGGCCATAGAATTTTAGCTTTTCTTCGTTCTTCAAATCTCTAAGATCTCGTACGAATTCAGTGGCTAAGTGAAATAAACTTTCCAGCTCGTCTAAAGTGCTCTCGAAAGAGCTGTCTTCATCCGCCATATTTTTTTAAATATTTGAATGTTTTTGGCTTTTTGCCGCGTGATTTGCCACGCGCGCACACCACGCAGTGGGTGGCGAAATCAAAAATCATTGCATAGTGCGCGGATTATGCGAAACAGCAAAAGTCTCCACTTTTACAATACAAAAATCTGTCAAAATTGTCGACTATTACTTGACTCTTTTTAAATGCACAGAGTTCTATGGAGGTTCGGGCGCATGATCCCCTGGAAGAAACTGAAGATCCCCTGGAAGAAACTCTCTTCTCCCGCCCGCACTAAACGCCTGCTACGCAGGCCACTGAAATCATGAAATGGTGGCATTTCCTCCGTTTTGGGGAAGATTTCAAATGACTACCTCAACGATTGAAACAGATCCTAACCACCAACAACAACTGCTTCCAGCCATGACCGCTGTCAAAAACCAACTCGTCTGCATGTATTAGGCTGTTGGGCTGTTTTGAATTTTTTAATTCCCGGCTGCAATTCGATAGAGCACATTTTCAAGAGATCTATTCACCTGACTTTTTGAAGTATTTTGTATTTTAATTTTGCTCCTCATAGTTACAGTTTTGTAACTAATAAATTTTCTTAAATAAGTTATCTAACTAGATTTATATTTGATAAACATTTTCCAATTCAACCCAATACAACCCACTAATGCAGTATTTTTGGATTTTTCGAGAGTGATTTCTTCTACCGTACGTAGTCAGTCAAAGAGACTTTCCAATAAGTCTTCTAAACTAATGCCATCCCTTGCTTCGATGAATTCCCAAAGACTAGAGGTGAAAAAGTAAGAAATATTAAAGACTCACTTTCGGTAGGTGTGGTATATAATTTATATAAATTATGCAAAAATTATCTAACAGTCCATGATGCTGGAAAACATTGCTTGTAGAAGTAGTTGAGATTGTCATGTAGTATTTTCACTGAATACAGTTATTTGTTGTTGTGTTCATATTATTAATAGACATGTTATTTATCTGAAAGACATTTCAAGAGTTCTGGGTCATTTTCATTACTACAGAAGAGCTTATTTTCTTTGGTTTATAAATTTTTAGTTTTGACTCTATTTGATAAAAATACCTGCTTTGAAATAGACCTTATGCATAATGACGTAACAAGGCTTGATGCCCGCGTGGAATGCTGGTCTTAGTAGTCATCGCCCGGGAAAATTTCGATAGTGGCCATTTTGAATTGTTTAATTTTCCCGGGCGATGACTACCAAGACCAGCATTCCTCGCGAGTATCAAGCCTTATGACGTCATTATGCATAAGGTCTATTCTAGCCTAAACAGGTATTTATTTAAAGGGAGACCAAATAATTGTTTTTAGCTTAACAGGTTCTTAAATTCTAGGTTCTCAGTCCTTGAAACTCCCGAAATTTCAGGTCGGCAAGAAATTGCCGACCTAAAAGTGATAATTCTCAATCTAGGTCGGCAAATATTTTCAAAACAAATAGAAAATATCGAAATGAAAATTTTATTTGCTTGCTGCAAATACGCGTACTTATAAACTTCAATTAATTGCAATCAATGCCAATAGCAAACAAAGCAAGTAACAAAATGTATGAACTGCAATCGAACAGTGCATGTTGTGACAGCTTTATTACCATATACTTTCGCTTGGACGATTTTAACATGTATGTTTACTTTCAAAGTTTCAAGTATCACCTTTCAACAATGAAACTGCAATGTGACCACGCAAGCTAATGATCAAAACCTGATAATTAAAACATCATCGTTGAAAATGCGTGTGTGAAAGATGTATTCAAGGAAAAAATGCCGAGAGGTATTTGAAAGTAGGTCGGCAAAATTTTGCCGACCTAAATCTACACATATCGCTTTGCAGGTCGGCATTTAGGTCGGCATTGCCGAATGCCGACCTGAGTTTCAAGGACTGGGTTCTTAAATGTGGGGTTTTACTGTGTACATTACCTTAATGAGTTTATAATCCTTCTCTCCCCTTCACTGTTATCATATCTGCGCACTGTTACTTTTGCTATCGTCCCATCAGGGTTAGCTAAACACAGAGGATATGCACAGAAAAAGCATAAACTTCATACATACTGCAGAAACGTGCAGTTCTGTGGTAGACACTTTGCGAAATATTGGGGGTTGGGAGGTGGCCAAAACATCACCACCTTAGTTCTTTAAACTTTTTTTGCCTTAAATTCCATCAATACACAGCTTAATTTATAGCCTACTAACGCTTTCAAGGTTGAAAAATAACACAGTTATTCAGCTATCATTCAAAGGTTTCAGAAATTATTGGGGGGGGGGGGCGGTCGCCCCTTATCTGGATCGTCCCCCTAGTGTCTCTCACACAATTGCGCAAAACTTTCATTCATTTATACCAGTTTCTACCTGACGTTTAATGTTAGAACTCACCATGTTTATAGAAACAGCTGGCACCAAATGGACATGTTCCTTTACCCATATCAAAGTATTTACATGGTTTCGTGCTACAAGATTAACAGAAAATAGTAACAGAAGATGAGAAATCCACATCGTGCTCTCTGTTAAAGCGACGTGAAGAATTACAAGAAAATAACAAAGTTTTACCTTAAAGCATCTTTGTATGTTTTCATAAGTTTCTCCTTCTCCGCGGCATCGTCTACCCACACTTCGCTCTACAGAAAATAATTGGATGATAGTTTTCATGTGATTTCCATGTACCCCCTATACATGCCTACACGCGTAAAAACGCATAAGTTGTTACAGGTCTGCAAACAAGTTGTTACAAATCTGTTCACAAGCTGTCAACAAGTTGTGTTCGCACTGCTTGTTCCCAGTTGTTGTAGCAAGTTCGGAACAAGCTTTTAACAGCTTGTAACAAGCTTGATGGCATTATCAGACTTGTAGCAAAGTTGTTCTAACAAGTCTGATACAGTCATGATATAACAAGAATGTTACAAGGTTGACGACACAAGGTTGTAGCAATATTGTTATATCATGACTGTATCGGACTTGTTGGAACAACCTTGTAACAAGTCTGATAGTATCGACAAGGTTGTTACAAGTTGTCAACAGCCTGTTCCAAACTTGTTGACAACTTGGGACAAGCAGTGCGAACACAACTTGTTGACGGCTTGTTGGCAGATTTGCTACAAGATGCGAGAATTTTGCGTGTGTGCAAGTTGTTACAAGTCTGTTCACAAGCTGTCAACAAGTTGTCTTCGCACTGCTTGTCCCCAGTTTGTTGTAACAAGTTCGGAACAAGCTGTTAACAACTCGTAACAAGCTTTATGGCATTATCAGCCTTGTTACAAGACTGTGCTAACAAGTTCGTTACAACCATGATATAACAAGGATCTTACAAGGTTGCCAACACAAGGTTGTAACAATCTTGTTATATCAAGTATGTAACGGACTTGTCAGAACAACCTTGCAACAGGTCTGATAATTTCGACAAGGTTGTTATAAGTTGTCAACAAGTTGTTCCAAACCTGTTGACAACTTGTGACAAGCAGTGCGAATACATCTTGTTGACGACTTGTTGGCAGACTTGTTACAAGTTGTGGGATTTTTACGTGTGTACAGGGCCGCCGAGAGGGGGGGCAGGGGGGGGGGGAAATTGCCCCGGGCCCCGAGGCTCTGGGGGGACCCTAGAAATTTAATGTTGGGCCCCAGTCATTTTTTCGGGCGAAATATTTCTATTTTCGGGCCAAAATATTTCTGTTTTGGGGGCAAAGTACCGAAATTTGGTATGGAAAATTGCGGAAAAGTCCCACGAAAGTAATTATAACGCACCAACAAGGGCAAATAATGTTAGCCAATCAGCGCGTTTGTTTACATTTTGCGTTCTTGACCAATCAGAATGCCTGAAATTCGAAACATGTAAACAAAAGGAGTGAGAAAATAACACCTTGTTCTACGCCCTCGGTGACATTCGATATTAAACTTTTTTCGCCAAAACTGACAAATTCTGATAAAGCATGCTTTCTTCTTTAATTTCCTCGGGGGGATTTTTAAAATTCGATCTAGAACGCGAAATATTTATGTTTGAATAACAGTGTTTCGACGCGCGTAAAATAGCAGACTCTCACTTGCACTATCTTTACACACACATAAAAAATTGGTAGATTTGGCAGTTTAAACTTATTTTCCCCACACCACAGCTGACATGTTTTTAAATATTACCTATCTGATCTCATCGATCTCATTTCGCATCGGAAATGCGTCACAACGATCCAGGACTGACAGGTACAATATCGCATGACTCATTACTGTACATTAAAAGTACATATCCGGTTGGCAAAATGGCGATTGTCTGACAGACCTTCGCGAAGGGCTTAATATTTTTGCTAATAAACTGTTCACGAGGGTTTCGTTCTGTTCGTCTTCTGGTTCGTCGTCAATCGTCATCGGCTGCCTCACTTTCTTGGTCGCTTTCGTCCTCTTCAAAGCAAGTCACCGGGGCAATCAGCGTTAATATTTGCTGTCTTTCGAAGACCTTCCAAGAGCTTCAACATTTGCCAACGTTGTTGCTTCACAAACTGGGCAATCGCTGATGTTGGGCAGGATGCATTCGATGTGGAACGTAGGTCCACAACCACGGAAAACGTTCCAAATGGAATAACCTTTTCGCAGGCAGGCAAATCGCAGGTAAGATTTATATTTTATATTTACAGATCTTGATACATTTATAGTCAGCGTCCTTGGTGATTGTTCCAAAATATGAGTGTGTACCAAAGTTAAAATATTACTCATAATCTCCAGAACATGTTTGGACAATGTTTTGAATCACTGCAGTTTAGAATTAGCAGTCGTTTTAAAGACAACAGAACTGGCAGCCATGGCACCCCATAACTATTCAGTGTACAAATACCAGACAATGTAAATTACCACCTCCCCCAACCCAGAAGTAGGCAGTTTTTATTTCCCAGCACTGCATAATCAAAATTGCTGGATTGTATAAATGCCTGGCTTTGTCTCAGTGGCCCTGCTTTGCCCCATGAACCCCACACTTCCTAGATTCAAGCAAGCGGGGACTTATATTGACTGGTACTTAGGTCCTGTTTATATGGAAGCCGGGCTGGCCCGCTAAGTGAGACAGCCCGGTAAGCGAGATCTCGCTGTGTAGTTATTTTTATAGTAAAAATTATTGTGCGTTTATATGGACAAGTGGGCTGGCCAGGTTGCCGAGATCTCACTTGAAAAGAGGTGAGATCTCACTTGAAAAGAGGTGAGATCTCACTTGAAAAGAGGTGAGATCTCGCTTACCGGGGTGGAAATTTCTCCATATAAACACTCACAAGCGGGCTAGCCCAGTTGCTGGGATGAAAGATACCGCCGCAAGCTATTTTTAACAACTGTCAAAACCAGCAAGCGGGATGAAATGTTCTCATATAAACACAAGAGAAATTCATCCCACCTGCCTGTCTCGCTAAGCAGGCCAGCCCGGCTTCCTGCATATAAACAGGCCCTTAGTTGAATTGCAGCACTTGGTCTGCCTGTGTGTTACTTTTAAGTGTACCCTGGTTCTTTGCAAGGTAAAAGAAACAAGAGGTGAGAATGGAAAGCCTCTGATCGTATCAATTGCAAATCCCACTTCCACACTTGAATAGGTTCAGAATTTGAATCTTGCATGTGATTGGCCATTTGTAAAAATATGTCAAACCTGTTTGGGAAATAAACACGACTGTGAGCTAATTATAGCTATCTATCTATTTAGCATGCCAAATAGGGCCGGGTCACCACAACAGCATATGCCAATTACTGTGAGCCCTTTTTACCCAACCCACCCTGTCAACTTTCCATGTGGGAGGAAACTGGAGTACCCGGGGAAAACCTGTGACGTTCGGCAGAGCATTGCGGTTTATTCTTTTCACATGAGGACTGGGTTTGAGTCGCATTGAGAAAGTTCTCACTGACTTGAACCTGCGGCCTCAGAGGTGACAGGCAAGTGCAAACTTGTGCAACCGAAGCCCCAATTAAAAAGCCCCAAGCTATTATAGTAAACTCAACCAAGCATGAATATTAATACTCCCGCAGGTGAAAAGGTATTAAATTTCTCAGGAGATAAACATATCAACATTAATCAGTTTGGGAGGACATGTAATACATTCTTGGTTGAGTTTAACAGAATATTTTAATACAGGCTATAATTAGCTTACAGCAATGTTTATTTCCCAAGCCAGTTTGGCATATTTTTACAAATGGGCAATCACATGCGAAATTCAAATGCTGAACCTAATCAAGTGTGGAAGTGGGATTCGCATTCGCAATGGACAGTGACCCTGGGCTGTACACAGCACAGGGGAGGGGGCGGCAGGAGGGGGAAACTGCCCTCCTAAAGAAAACTATATTTACAATTTTTAGAATGTCATTATTAATTATTCTTTGGATATTTGGAACTTTTTTCAACCTGCCTGCTCAAATCCCAAAGTGTGGGGCAAAGCAGGGTCACCGAGACAAAACCAGATATTTACACACAGATATTTACAGATCGTGACAGTGCTGAGAAGTAAAAACTGCCTACTTCTGGGTTGGGGGAGGTAGGAATTAATTACATTGACTAGTATTGTACACTAAATAGTTATGGGGTGCCATGGCTGCCAGTTCTGTTGTCTTTAAAAGAGTTAAAGGACTGCTAATTCTAAACTACAGTGATTCAAAACATTCAAACATGTTCTAGAGATTATGAGTAATATTTTAACTTTGGTACACACTCATATTTTGGAACAATTTCCAAGGACGTACTGACTATAAATGTATCAAGATCTGTAAATATAAAATATAAATCTTCCTTTAAAATTTCCATCGATTTGCGATTTGCCTGCCTGCAAAAAGGTTAATCCACTTGGAACGTTTTCCGTGGTTGTGGACCTTCGTTCCACATCAAATGCATCCTGCCCAACATCAGCGATAGCCCAGTTTGTAAAGCAACGTTGAAGCTCTTGGAAAGACGGCAAATACTAACGCTGTTTGCTCCGGCGACTTGCTTTGAAGAGGACGAAAGCGACCGAGAAGTGAGGCAGCCGATGACGATTGACGACGAACCAGAAGACGAACAGACGAAACCCTCGTGAACAGTTTATTAGCAAAAATATTAAGCCCTTCGTGAAGATCTGTCAGCTATTAACTGTGGTCAGACAATCACCATTTCGCCAACCAGGTACTTTTAATGTACAGTAATGAGTCATGCGATATTGTACCTGTCAGTCCTGGATCGTTGTGACGCATTTCCGATGCGAAATGAGATCGATGAGATCAGATAGGTAATATTTAAAAACATGTCAGCTGTGGTGTGGGGAAAATAAGTTTAAACTGCCAAATCTACCAATTTTTTATGTGTGTGTAAAGATAGTGCAAAGTGAGAGTCTGCTATTTTACGCGCGTCGAAACACTGTTATTCAAACATAAATATTTCGCGTTCTAGATCGAATTTAAAAAATACCCCCGAGGAAATTAAAGAAGAAAGCATGCTTTATCAGAATTTGTCAGTTTTGGCGAAAAAAGTTTAATATCGAATGTCACCGAGGGCGTAGAACAAGGTGTTATTTTCTCACTCCTTTTGTTTACATGTTTCGAATTTCAGGCATTCTGATTGGTCAAGAACGCAAAATGTAAACAAACGCGCTGATTGGCTAACATTATTTGCCCTTGTTGCACCTACATGCTTTCGACATTGAAGATAAATCTGACATTGAACATGCAGAACATTCAACATATTTTCGACATTGAAGTTAAATAGGACATTCAACACCTACGTACTTTCGACATTGAAGATAAATCTGGCATTGAACATGCAAAACATTCAGCATATTTTCGACATTGAAGTTAAATATGACATTGAACACCCATGTGTTTTTGACATTGAAGTTAAACCGGACATTGAACATGCCGCGAATTTAGCACCCATCACAACTTCAACGTTCAAAATATGTTGAAAAAATTTACCAGATGTTGAATATTGGCGGAGTTGAACGATAGCGTCAAATCTCCGCCAATATTAATTAAGCTAACACAAGATAACCCCCCGGCCAAATTCATTCGTGTCCAGACCTCTAGAACATATCACATGACGCAAGCCGAGGATCGAATTCGCCGCATCTTGTCGCTGTATTGGAGGCCGTATATTCACCATAATATTCGCGTATATTCGCTTGTTTGTCTTAAATTAATTGACTTTTATAGCGCAGATTGAATTGCTAGAGACGCAAAAATTATATTTTAAAAATTCCTAATAATCGCATTATAAATAATCGATACATTTTATTTAGAGTGTAATTGCAAAAACAATGCGTGCGTCAAACTGAACTTTTGCTGCGGCGGAAAGGCAGATGGTTTTCTTTATATATTAAATCGTGAGGCCATGTGGTGTAATTTGATAGTACTTGTCAATTTAGCATAATTTTGTGCACTTTTCTAAGTTCCGGATCCGTGAGCCTTTAATAATTTTATTTGTCATTTACTTATACAACAATTCAAAAAAATCCTACCTGTTTACAAAACTTTTGTGTTACACACTTAATAGGTGTCTTCTTACTAATTCAATAACTGTTACACAATAAAGATTTGTGCTGTCAATTGCACTAGAATTAGCGTTTTAATAATAGCACATAATAGTTTCGTGAGAAAATTTATTTATCTTATACCATAAACTTCTGATTATGATTACGGGCTAGTATATCGAATGGTGTGAACGTTAGTAATGTGACGGGGTCATAGACGTCGGGCTTATATTCGGGGACTTATAATCGGAAGTTTATGGTATAAGATAAATAAATTTTTTCACGAAACTATTCTCCTAGTTTAAAAATTAAAAGGATGTACTATTATTAAAATGCTAATTCTAGCTAGTGCAATTGACAGCAAAAATCTCTATTGTGTAACAGTTATTGAATTAATAAGAAGACACCTATTACGGTAATTAAGTATGTAACACAAAAGTTTGTAAACAGTAGGATTTTTTGTAAACAGTTGTATAAGTAAATGACAAATAAAGTTATAAAAGGCTCACGGATCCGGAAAGAAAAGTGCTCAAAATTATGCTAAATTGACAAGTACTATCACATTACACCACAACGATTTAATATATAAAGAAAACCATCTGCCTTTCTGTCGCAGCAAAAGTTCACGTTGACGCACGCATTGTTTTTGCCAGTACACTCTAAATATTAAAATGTATCGATTATCTATAATGCGATTATTAGGAATTTTAAAATATAATCTAATAAATAAAATAATATCAATTTTTATACATTTAATAACAGCTGTTGACTGCATGTTGTCTCAATCGCTCAGCAACTTCAAACAGAGCATCTGCCTGCATCGCTTGCGGAAGTTATTGCCTCTGAGTTCATTCTACCAGATTTTGCGTTTTTTGCGTCTCTAGCAATTCAATCTGCGCTATAAAAGTCAATTAATTTGAGACAATCAAGCGAATATACACGAATATTATGGTGAATATACGGCCTTCAATACAGCGACAAGATGCGGCGAATTCGATCCTCGGCTTGCGTCATGTGATATGTTCTAGAGGTCTGGACACGAATGAATTTGGCCGGGGGGTTATCTTGTGTTAGCTTAATTAATATTGGCGGAGATTTGACGCTATCGTTCAACTCCGCCAATATTCAACATGTGGTAATTTTTTTTCAACATATTTTGAACGTTGAAGTTGTGATGGGTGCTAAATGCGCGGCATGTTCAATGTCCGGTTTAACTTCAATGTCAAAAACACATAGGTGTTCAATGTCATATTTAACTTCAATGTCGAAAATATGTTGAATGTTTTGCATGTTCAATGCCAGATTTATCTTCAATGTCGAAAGCACGTAGGTGCTGAATGTCCCATTTAACTTCAATGTCGAAAATATGTTGAATGTTCTGCATGTTCAATGTCAGATTTATCTTCAATGTCGAAAGCACGTAGGTGCTGAATGTTCTATTTAACTTCAATGTCGAAAGCATGATATACATGAATATTGGCGGTGATATGACGCCATATTTAAGGCCAAGGAGAGAGTCTTGTGCATTAATGGGTTAACCAAACTACTTGCCAATGTCTGTTGTTAATCTATCAAGCTGCGATACATCCAAATTTCGCAACATGTATACATGTATATCTAAAGCCGTTTTATACAACCTTCCTTACACTCATTTTTTGCTGATATTCTGTCATCAAAACCAAATGAGATGATTTTTATGTCAAGATTTAGTCTCTCTTGCATATATGTATTTGTCACTTTATATAAGGTCTTTTATTATGAAGTAGAGAGTGAGATATTGAAAATACACAGCGAGATATTTTCCACGGGCACCGTGTCTCGTCTTTAATAGATAGTAAAGATCGAGCGAATTATTATTGTTATTAAACTTGTTTTCGAAAGTCAGCGTCTTCTTGAGGCTCAAGACTAATTTTATGCAGATTTTCGTATCTTAAACTGAAAGTAATTTAAATACAACAAGACGCCTGCTCAGGCGTTCACACTGGCCTGAAAATAACGAGATACGTGCTATGGTGCAAAAGGCAGGAATACAAATCTTAAACCGCAAGCAAATTTTATGAACTTTTTAAAAAAATAAAAGACCTTTTCGGGAGACGTAATGGAGATCGATGCACGTGCAAATCATGCCGACCTACAGAATCGATTTCCGGTTTTTCCTAACAGCGCGTTGTTTTCATGTGCGTTCCATGGGCCGCGCTAAAAATATAAATATTCTGTAAATACCGAAATAAAAGATGAAAATCTCAAGACACAAGCTTGAAAATAACACTATAAATAGTGTTTTCGATTCTGGTTCCAATAACATTATCACGAAAAAGATATGCCCAAAGGGGCCGAAGTTATGTGCGGCAAAATGTATGGCTAGTTTACATTGTTTGTTGTATTATGAAATATGATACCATACTTGTATTAAAATTCACGTCGAACTAATGTTATTGTAAATGAGTAGACTTGCCACAAGTCGACCTCGAACGAAATGCGTTTCTTCGAGGTCGACTTGTGGCAAGTCGAGCAAATGAGAACCATACAAATGATACAATAATGGTTCTAGTTCTTGTTGGTATTTTGAACGCACGCTTTATCGGTATAGCTACCACAAAGCTTTTCGCGCGGATTATATTTCGTGGAGTACTAAATATTATATTTTGTGGTTTTCGAGTCATTACACAAAGAAAAACACATTAATTCAACACGCAAGAAAGTCCAGAGTACGACACAACGTAAAATACATAGGAAACCGGCACAATTCTTTGAAAATTCAACCAAACTGTGTAAAATATAGTTTGATTACTCTGTGAAAAGCCGCCATTGCAGTTCGGAATTGTGCGCGTGCGTACAAGTGTATAGGCTAATAAACGAAAAATGTACCACAAGCATGGCATCAGTCGGCTATTACGTACATATATACGAGCTTATTACTATACTATCTAACTCATGGCACCGAGGGAATCGATGGCATTTTGGCTTAATCGTTGCACCCTGAGCCTGCGATGAGCTAACGCAAACTCGATTTCTCGACTACGAAAAAAACAGAAAAAGGGGGATTTAAGACACTTGGCCTTACAGGCCAGTGTAAAAATAGAGTATGATTTGTTTCAAATAAAATAGAAACTGTCGAGTGAGACGGCCAAGTTTAGTTTAATTCAAACTATAAGCTTATATTCTGTTTTATTATGTTAGCTATGTTATTTATATTATATAATTTGTTTCGACCAACTCAAGATATATATCTAGCAAGTGGTCAGGTATTTTGCGACTACACCTGTGAAATAAATTACCCGTCAAAACACGTCACGCTTGGTCAGATCACAGATATTTTGCAGAGGTCGTCAATTTCGCTTGACAGCGGGAGGACAAAAATATTCCTTGGCTCACAAGTGAACGCATTAGCTGAGACTGAATGCCTCGCGAGTTGGAAGGTCTGCTCCGGATGTATATATATATACATCTGCAATTTTGTTAAATATATACATCTTGTAAAAATACCTTGTTCCGGGAAAAATCGTCCAATACCAAAATCAGACAGGACTAAATCACCATTCACATCAACAAGTATATTGGTCGGCTTCAAGTCTCTGTGCAAAATTCTAGGCTCTCTAGCATGTAATGCTTTCAGCCCTTCCAACACTTGGCGGATCATCTTTCTAGCACGGGATTCTGTTATCGTTTCACCTTCCTCCTTGACGAATTCTTCAAGATTTTTTTCATATAAATTCAAAATCAAATAACCAAAGTCAGGACTGGAAGTATCATCGTAGAAGCAATAATTTACAACTCGCGGCGACTCGACTGCATTCGGAGAGGTCAAGATATCTCGTTCATTCTTCAACAAATTACACAGGACTTTTGGCAAACGTTTTATCGCTCGTTCTATCCCGTCAGACCCCAAGCAAACATACACTTCTGTACCATAACTGCCACTGCCTATTGAGAACTCTTCCTTAAAACATACGCCGTTATCATTTATTATTTTTATCAATTCAGGGTTACCCTCAGCATTTTTCCAGACTTCTGAAAGCCGTTCAAACTTCTCTCTGTGTTTCACAGAGACTTTTTTCCAATCTTTGGGTTTTAGGGCTGCGATTTCTACACTTTTCTCCCGTCTGGTTTTGCCAAGGGTTTTAACTTTCTCGACTGACGGCAACTGTATTAACGGCGTCACGTCTAATTCCCTAATATTTCTCCTATTCAATGTCAATGACTTACTTCTTGGTATTGGTGTAACGTATTTATTATCACTACCATCACCTCTAGATCTGCCATCAAACATATCCGGCAGACCCGATGTAGTTCTGGTTATAGTCCTTTTAGATGTAATAGTATTCCAGCTTTCTGCCATGTCGAGAAAATTCCAAAATCGGTAAGTGGCCTCTGTCTGATTGTGAAGGGATGATGGCTACTGTAACCGTGGTTATTTTGAGAAGGACTAATTTCCATAAATTTTCCGGACCGACGTTCATGAAATTGTACAACGCATAAAACATTTTCTTTAACATTATATTTTCCTGCAAATATTGGCGACGGGGAGAGGAGGGTTACAAACATTTCCCGACCTAATATTTGAGTAATATAGTTCCTTCTTAATATTCTTAATATCTCCTTTTAACATTTCCTCGTTTTTTCTCTAAATTTGCCCAATTTTTAATAATTATACTAGTAATTTTAATATATTTTTTACTCTGATCGTTTTTTCTTGTTTTTTTGGGGGGGGAGGGGCTTAGCTCTGACTTTTGAAAAGTGGGAGCTTCAGCCCCCCTCCCGGTTTCGTCATCTATGATTTTTAAAATAGGAAACGGGGAATTGGGGATTCGGGGGAACCAGGAGGTGGAGAAATCAGAAGGTGGGTGAACAGGGAGGTGGGGAACAGGGAGGTGGGGAACACGGAGGTGGGGAACAGGGAGGTGGGGAACAGGGAGGTGGGGAACAGGGAGGTGGGGAACAGGGAGGTGGGGAACCGGGAGGTGAGGTAAACAGGGAGTGGAGCAAACGGGAGTTTGAGAAGTTGGCAGTGGGGAAACAGGCAGTGGGGAAGCGGGCAGTAGGGAATCAGAGAGTGGGAGAACCACAGAGCCGTAGTAGACTGGGGAATAGCGGGGTCGGGATAGGCTAACCGAAGAGACTGTGGGGAAAAAAGAGGAAATAGCATATCGTGAATTGGGAGGGATACAAACATACGAAATGTACGAAAATAATTAACCTTTTTGGTGTTTCACTTTGTTGACAAACATATTTTAATTAACATATCTTAATTATTACAATCTCAAGTACACGATACTGGGTAGTGTTACTTATTTATAAATAATTCTAACACTGGAATGTAAGTGATTTTAAAATTTAATTAGTTTTGATATTTATAGAGAAAAGTCTTGGCCAGGATATAAGTTAGAGTTATAAACCGAGGAGGTTTATAACTGATATATTGCCCCCGAGGACGCGTAGCGTCCGAGGGCAATATATCAGTTATAAACCGACTTTCGAGGTTTATAACTAACTTATATCACACTTGTGGAGGTTTTCTAACATATTTTGTCATTTTCAAAAAATTTTAATGAAAAATTCTCGCGTTTTGTCTACAAGTTTAATCCAATTATTTATTCAAGGTCTATTAGCTAGTTATAAACCTCGGACGATCAAAGAAAACCGACACAAGTGTGATATAAACACAGTTAATATCCATATAAACACAGATATAAACATATAAACACAGTTATACAGGTTCTATACCTAAACTTCCCAGCTGCACGTGCTATGTCTGAATTAAAGAAGGGACTACTTTTCCCTGGAAGGGATGCGGAAGCCATTGCTGTGGGAAATGGGTCAACTGAGGGATAATGAATCCTGCAGGAATCAAGAAACTTATGGAATAAGCAATACGAGAGATAACTTTTTTTGTGTTTTTGGCAAACATAATTGTACTGAAGTTGTACTGAAGTATTATGGTGGCATCATTAATTCTTAATTAACTATAAATCAACATATATTACTTAACATATGAGCCATTTCTCATTAGGGGCGGACCATTAGAAATCCCGGGAGGGGGGGTATAAAATTTTTGCGGCACGAATTTTTTTTTCAGTCTCATGTCTCTGCAGGAATTTTTTTTAATGCATTTAACCTCTGCACGAATTTTTTTTCAAGACTACTTGTACTTTGCTCATGGGCGTACCGGAAGGAAAAAGTTAGGGGGGCGGAAAGAAATTTGCCGGACTTTTCCGGATTTTGACCGACAAGTACTGAAAACATTTTTCCGCAATTTGTTTTGGCTTTCCAACACACACACACCAAAAGTTACTACAAAATTGACAGAATTTGTCATTTTTTTTTTTAATAAACAAAATTGCCCAACTGTTCAGCGAATATTGCCCGACTGCCAACTGCCCGGTACGCCCATGACTTTGCTGTTTGTTTGCACGAATTTTTTTTCTCTGACGTAATGGCTGCACGAATTTTTTTCCAGGCATTTTTCTTTGCACGAATTTTTTTGGGGAATTTTCACCCCCCCTCCCGGGATTTCTAATGGTCCGCCCCTTATATTCTGCGACCACTTGTTGTGCTGGGGAACCATGCAGGAACACAGTGGAATGCGTAAGCTGGGTAATAGGGTTAGAGTTTTGGTCATGTCATGCATGCTCAGGCCTGGCTAAGGTGGAGATATATTGGTACCAAAAGCATTTTACCTTTCAGTATCTGTTATTTTATTCTCCAAATAGGTCAAAATACAAGTAAACACTTAAATGTAATCCCATATTTATTGAAGAACACTGGGAATTATAGGTATATATTGGTATTCAGAACCAGTACAATTGCAGCCAGTGTTTATTAGGCATATCCTTGAAACCCATATATTTGTATACATTGTACAACATTCTATTATTACTTGATTACACATATGCAGTGGTTAAAACAATAGTGTAGCACGCCAAGATACGAAATTAGACCCGGACAACAACACTGTCAACAGTCTGCTTCGGTGGTTATATAATTAATACAAAATTACAAAGTGAAGGTAAACATCTATTACGGGAACCACTGAGTATTTTAATAAAATATAAAACAACGGTAACTCCGAAAATAAATTTTCGGAGTTACCGTTGTTTTATAAGGTAAACATCATTATGTGCATGTTACGAACTCATTACTGTCGTACGTTATGTTGTATATTGATAAGGGGTGGACACTGCAAAAACTACTATTATGCTGTTGATTAGCAATTATTACTCAGGGTGCTATAATTCTCGTACTTACATCTGTTTTCAGTCACGTACAACGTTGGTCCACGTAGGTACACGGAACTCTTACTATCTGCGTATTTATTTTCGTTGTACCATACGAGCTTTCCAAGACCAGGTTTTTCAAAATAGTAATTTGGTCGGTAAATTACTTTATAAAGTCCGACATGACTAGAATGAAAAATTATTAGACTGATGCAACTAAGGAATGTTGGGGTGGATTCTAGTGATTGTATAGACAATTATACTTTCACGTTACTGAATTAATATCTTTCAGAAAGTTGTACTTTATGTACTTCATTTTAAAGACTAAGTACGCCTTGAGTCTTAAGTTTGCTAGTTTGTACCAGCTCAAGTACGTGGCAATAATCATTGGAGTACCAGTCAGGTACGACTAAAAATCTTCAATTATCGCACCCTGTAATTACTTGTAATACAGTTGGTTTTAACTTAAAAATATTACATTAGTATATCATTAATATATATACAAATAACTCGTTTTCATCCAAGGTATGTTCAGATGAAAATTTAACAATTATTCGCCGAAGGCGATGTGATTATCGTGGAATATTCACCGAGACGAATTTGAGGCGAGTATGTGCCGATATTTACCCACAGGCGGCCCAATCTCAGAATGAATGATCAGGTGTTGCGGGTTTTTAACGGTTTTTATAAACAAATTTATAGTCAACCAAAACTATTTAAAAAACATTCTTAAATTAGTCAAATAAATACATTTTAACAATAAAATATAGTTGACATGATAGTATAATACCTTTGCATTCTTTTAATTACTCCATGAGCTCATTTAGAGCGGTTGATGTAACATTTTCTGTGGCCTACATTGTGTGTGCTCATCTATATATAATATAACAGTAAAAGGCTAATCACTGGCGGCACGACCGCATCGCCTTCAAAGTCAAATATCTCCGCTCAAACTTCTCGTACGCCAAAACAAATTCGATTACATCTTTTCACAAAGATTTCTCTTTCTAAATAATATGGTTTGATCGTAGCTTGGGCAAATTTAGCGACGAACGGAACCAAAATCTCCTCAATTTCGGATACTGTTCAAAATACTTAGGGCTGCTCGGGCACGATCGTGGACGTGACGTAATCAATACATACCGACAATAACGCCTTACCCGGGGTGAGACAGCATATCAAATTCGACGATAGTTTGTCGCTTTATGCTGTCCCACCCCACGTAAGGCGGTAAGGCGTTATTGTCGGTATGTATTGATTACGTCACGTCCACGAT